GAAGGAAGGTAAAGTAAAGTAAAAACCCCAATTAAAAAAAATCCAACATATTAACTGCAGAAACGGTATCAAAATAAAGGGGAATAGGGGGTTGAACGATCTTGTTACAAGCACTTATCATCTGGATCAACTCGTTTAAAAAGGCTGTATTCTCCTCACCGTTTTAGCACTCAAGCGCTTTTTTCCTGTTCCCCTTCTTCTTCTTCTTCTTCCATTGAACCTTAATTTTCGAATGTAACCCTCATTCTGGAAGCGTGGCCAAAATATTCCACAAGCACAAGTAAAAAGAGTCGTTTTCACTTGGTGCATCTACTAGCGGGGAGAACTTTTACCTTATTTATAGATTCATGACTTCTTCTTCCTTTCTCCCTTTAACTGATAAAGGAAGCGACGGGAATGAGTCAAAAGGGAGTCAGAATTATACAACACAAAATTGAGGTTATTGTACAATGCTCATCACGGACGTTAATCCCCGTGGAACATCTGGAAAAACTGTTGTGTCGGTAATATTATCCCGAAATCTTTTTGATCCCTGTCAATTTTTTCCAATGTAACATTACATTTTGATCCTAGAAATTGGGTTTTACACACTCCTAATTTTTTTCCCTTCTCTCTATACCCTTTCGTAGATTTCCCACTATTTAAATCAAGTCGCATAGTTTGAGGAGAGATAGCGAGAGAGAAAGGTTATATGATTTGGAAAATGATTTGTTCTTGTAAAGAAAAAGATTAAATTAAGGTAGACTATCGTAATCATTATTTTCTATGCAAGGTGAATGATTTCATACGATTTTCTCATTGTTTTAATAATATCAGTTTATCTTAATTCTAATTGAAAAATTAAGATTTTTTTTTTATTCATTTTAACTTTCATTCTGTAATTTTTTAATTTTAATAATGGTTTTCGTTTGTGTCAATTTTTTTTTTGGTTTCTATTGAAGATTTGATTTAAGATTTTCGGAGTTTTCCCAGTTCAGACAATCCTGTATATAATCCCCTCCGAAATGAGTCAAATTTTCTTTGATTGATCAACCTTCCATTCAATCACAATAGAATAATTGTCTCAGATCATCACTTTTGTGTTTATCTTATTTCACGATTCTTTTGGTTTTGTAGCCCGGAATTTCGGAGTCCATATGAGTTTTTCAAAATCCTATGGGCTTTTTTTGACTATATCGTTATTAACTTTTAGTGGGGACAAGTATGCAGTACCACTTAATTTTAAACAAAGAATCACTCCTCAGTTGTTGTCTTCAAAAAAAAAAAATTATTTAAGACTTTACAATCTCAATTCCCTTTTATCACTATTTATATCATCATCAATTTCCCATTGATTTTCAAAAATTCCAATTACCTTTTTCCCTTTTTCTTTTCTTCTTTCTTTCTTCTTCCTCTTTATCAAACTTTTAAAGAAAGTCACTTAATTATAAAATATGTCTTCCATTCAAAGTGTTAACACTCAAGAGGGTGGAGGTAGAATTAACCAAATGAGAAGAGATTCCACCGTGTTGGGTCCAATGAACAAGATCTTGGTTGCCAATAGAGGGGAAATTCCAATCCGTATCTTTAGAACAGCTCACGAATTATCCATGCAAACAGTTGCCGTATATTCTCATGAAGATAGATTATCAATGCACAGATTAAAAGCCGATGAATCTTATGTTATTGGGAAAAAGGGCCAATTCTCACCAGTTGGTGCTTATTTACAACAAGACGAAATCATCAAGATTGCTAAACAACACAATGTCAATATGATTCATCCCGGTTATGGTTTCTTAGCTGAAAATTCCGAAATGGCAAGAAAAGTTGAAGAAGCTGGTTTAGTCTGGGTTGGTCCTCATTGGAAAACAATTGAAGCTGTTGGTGATAAAGTTTCTGCTAGACAGTTGGCTTTTGACAATAATGTTCCTACAGTTCCAGGTACGCCAGGTCCAATTGAAACCATTGAAGAAGCACAAGAATTCGTTGCCAAATATGGTTTCCCAGTTATTATTAAAGCCGCATTCGGTGGTGGTGGTAGAGGTATGAGAGTTGTTAGAGAAGGTGAAAACGTGGAAGATGCTTTCAAGAGATGTGTTTCCGAAGCAAAAACCGCTTTTGGTAATGGTACTGTGTTTATCGAAAGATTCTTATACAAACCAAAACATATTGAAGTCCAATTATTAGGTGATAACTATGGTAATGTCATTCATTTATTCGAACGTGATTGTTCAGTTCAAAGAAGACATCAAAAAGTCGTTGAAATTGCTCCTGCTAAGAATCTTTCCAAAGCAGTTAGAGATGCTCTTTTAACAGATGCAGTAAAACTTGCTAAAGCAGTTAATTATCGTAATGCTGGTACTGTTGAATTCTTAGTTGATGACCAAGATCGTCATTATTTCATGGAAATTAACCCAAGAATTCAAGTTGAACATACTATTACCGAAGAAATTACCGGGGTTGATATCGTGGCTGCTCAAATTCAAATTTCTGCCGGTGCTTCATTACAACAATTAGGTTTAATGCAAGATAAAATCACATCTAGAGGTTTTGCTATCCAATGTAGAATCACTACAGAAGATCCAACTAGGAATTTCCAACCTGATACTGGTAAGATTGAAGTCTATAGATCTGCTGGTGGTAATGGTGTTAGATTAGATGGTGGTAACGGTTTTGCTGGTTCCATTATTTCTCCTCATTATGATTCCTTATTGGTTAAATGTAGTTGTACTGGTTCCACATATGAAATTGCCAGAAGAAAGACTTTGAGATCATTAATTGAATTCAGAGTTAGAGGGGTTAAGACCAACATTCCTTTCTTATTAGCTTTATTAACTAACGAAACCTTCATTACCGGAAATTGTTGGACTACTTTTATTGATGATACTCCATCCTTATTCCAAATGATCAGTTCCCAAAATAGAGCTACTAAATTATTAAATTATCTTGGTGATATTGTTGTTAATGGTTCTTCTATTGCTGGTCAAATCGGTTATCCAAAACTTCAAACCGAAGCAATCATTCCAGAAATCCATGATCCAAACACTGGCGAAGTCGTTGATGTTGAAAACAAACCAATCCCACGTGGTTGGAGAAATATCTTACTTGAAGAAGGTCCAGAAGTATTCGCTAAGAAGGTTAGAGAATTCAATGGTACTTTAATCACTGATACTACTTGGAGAGATGCCCATCAATCTTTGTTAGCCACCAGAGTTAGAACTATTGATTTATTAAACATTGCTCCAACCACTGCTCATGCTCTTGCTGGTGCTTTCTCATTAGAATGTTGGGGTGGTGCTACTTTTGATGTTTGTATGAGATTCTTATATGAAGATCCTTGGGTCAGATTGAGAAAATTGAGAGCTGCTGTTCCTAACATTCCATTCCAAATGTTGTTAAGAGGTGCTAATGGTGTTGCATATTCTTCATTACCTGATAATGCCATTGATCAATTCGTTAAGGAAGCTAAAGATAATGGTGTTGATATTTTCAGAGTTTTCGATGCTTTGAATGATTTGGAACAATTGAAGGTTGGTATGGATGCAGTTAAGAAGGCTGGTGGTGTTTGTGAAGCTACTGTCTGTTATTCTGGTGATATGTTACAACCGGGTAAGAAATACAACTTGGATTACTACTTGGAAGTTGTTGATAAGATTGTTGCTATGGGTACTCATTTCTTAGGTATTAAAGATATGGCTGGTACTATGAAACCTGCAGCCGCTACTAAATTAATTGGTGCCATCAGAGCTAAATACCCAGATTTACCTATCCATGTCCACACTCATGATTCTGCTGGTACTGCTGTTGCCTCCATGACTGCTGCGGCTTTAGCTGGTGCCGATGCTGTTGATGCTGCATCTAATTCTATGTCCGGTATGACTTCCCAACCTTCCATCAGTGCTCTTTTGGCTTCTTTACAAGGCAGTCGTGAAACCGGTCTTCATGAATCTTTGGTCCGTCAAATCGATCAATATTGGGCACAAATGAGATTATTATATTCATGTTTCGAAGCTGACTTAAAGGGTCCAGATCCAGAAGTTTATGAACATGAAATCCCAGGTGGTCAATTAACTAACTTGTTATTCCAAGCTCAACAATTAGGATTGGGTACTAAATGGTTACAAACTAAACAAACTTATAAGGTTGCTAATGAACTTCTTGGTGATATTGTTAAGGTTACTCCTACTTCTAAAGTTGTTGGTGATTTAGCTCAATTTATGGTGACTAACAATTTGTCTGAAGCTGATGTTAACAACTTGGCTAGTGAATTAGATTTCCCAGATTCAGTGCTTGATTTCATGGAAGGTTTGATGGGTACTCCATTTGGTGGATTCCCTGAACCATTGAGAACCAATGTATTGGGTAACAAACGTCCAAAATTAGACTGTCGTCCTGGATTAACATTAAAGCCTATTGATTTTGACGCTGTTAAATTATCCTTGATTGAGAAGTATGGTGGTGGTATTTCCGAAACCGATATGGCATCTTATATCATGTATCCAAAGGTGTTTGAAGCTTATAAGAAGATCGTTGATCAATATGGTGATTTATCAGTCTTACCAACCAGATATTTCCTTAAACCTGCTCACATCAATGAAGAAATTGTGGTTGAACTTGAACAAGGTAAGACCTTAATCATCAAATTGTTAGCTATTGGTGAAATCTCAGAAAAGACCGGTTCACGTGAGATCTTCTTTGAGTTAAATGGGGAAATGAGAAGTGTGACAGTTCAAGACAAGACTGTATCAATCGAACATCACACTAGACAAAAGGCTCAACATACCAATGAAGTCGGTGCTCCAATGGCTGGTGTTGTGATTGAAATTAGAGCTAAAGAAGGACAAGCGGTGAAGAAGGGTGATCCAATTGCTGTATTGAGTGCTATGAAGATGGAAATGGTTATTAGTGCTCCTATGGCTGGTAAAGTCGGTCCATTGATGGTCAAGGAAGGTGAATCGGTTGATGCTAGTGATTTAATTACTAGTATCTTGAAGTAATGAGAGAGACTTAAGTGTTTTTTACGAAATGACTTTTTTTTTGTTTATTGATGGATGATTTTGTATAGTGTTTTTAGATTGATGTTCAGTTTTACATTTCTGTTTTAGTTTTTATTAAATTAAATATTTTAGATAGTTTTGAAAAGTTTAATAGTATCATGTAGTTGTATTCTCTCCATAAGACACAAGTGAGATGTCTCATATCTCGGAGATTTGGATCTAAACTCCAATTATGCAGTTAGCCACATACTTTTACACAAAATTGGTTTGCCAGATCCCGGAAACCAATCTCCGAGAGGAAATCAGAGAAACAATAGGGCCGTATAGATTTCGCTACAATATCCCATAGAAACAAAATGAAGGTGAGGTGACTCTGGAACCTTTCATCCATGAATCACAAAACTATTATTATGTTAATATACACTTCTATGACAGGTCTGGAGAATTGCCAGAATGCTCGATATCAATTGCCGACAAAATTGAATAACCCGGGTGGAAATGCCGTGATTAAGGGACTGGGTCCCGTTGTCGTTACCGGAGTGACAGTCCAGAAGCATTTTTGATTGATAGCAAATGGTCGCTATATTATGTTGGTTATAGCAATTATGGATCTATAATCTCTAGAAATGAGGATATTCTGTTAAACACCAACTACGTTATATTGAAGCATAAATCCCATTGAGGAACTATACGAAGGGAATTGTTAATTTGATGAACTAATTTCAAAGCCCAGTTCTAGCTACCTTTCTTCTTGGGTTAGACACGTTTCCACCAAGTGCACTGGTTCGTTTAACTCCAGTCAATTCAGCCATTCTTTTCGCCCTAGCTTGTTTTTCATTTAGAATCTTATCCACTCGATTTTTTAACGAATCGTTCTCTCCTTCGATAGCATTCAATCTCTTTAACAAATCTTCCTCCTCATTCTCATAATTTTCTTCATCAAAACTATCATTAGCATCTAATTCTTGTGGTTTCCAATCTTCATTATCAATCATGTCATGTGTGAATGTGGACTCAGAAAGGATGTTCGTATATTTATCCAATAGCTTTATTGCACCTTCATTGGCATTATTCATTGTTGTGATATTTTTGTTTATAGTTTTAATTGTTGAAACTGCTGATTGTAGTGATGCTGATATTTCGGTTAGTTTTGTTAGTTCATTCCTAAGAGCTAGTTCTACATCTGGTTCTTGTGACGGCTGTTGTGACCGACGAGGTGTGAATATTATCAGTGATTCACGATCCTGTGAAAATCTGTTGTATTGGCCCGACATGTGGTATTGGTGATGCTCAGAAGAATTGGTGGTATGAATGATTTTTTGTTTACATTTTGAATTTACTACGAGCTTTTTTTTTTTTCGTTCTAAGTCGCGAATAAAATGGGACTGAAAATTTTCAACAGAGAGAATATCACAGTTTGAACGAATAACACAGCAAGAATAGCCCTTCAGTTAACAGAATATGTCGTCAAACGAACAGCCAACCGAGAAACAACCTAGCATTGACCGACAAGAAAACATTGTTCAATCAACTGAAGCAAAAGCAGAGGGTGAAGAAGAATATACCAATTTAATCCAATCACTTCCAACAAGATGGGAAATAGAACTTGAATTTGTTCAATCATTGAGTAACATACCATATTTACAATACTTAGCTCAAAACAACTATCTATCTGACCCAAATTTCATCAATTATTTGAAATATTTAACATATTGGCAAAAACCAGAATATGCCAAATTCTTAGTATATCCCAATTGTTTACATATATTGGAAATGTTACAAAATGAATCATTTAGATTGAATATTGTAAATCCTGAATTTCTGAATACTTTGATGAATGATATGGTCAAGAGATGGCAAGAGAACGATGGCGAAGTAGATGGCACTGCCACTATTAAAAATGCAACACCACTTAACTTGGAGGGAGTGAATTCACTGTCACTGGGAAGTAATTAACTGCGCCTACAAATCCGAATAATTGAAATTCGCCCAAAAGCTTAACCTTGAGAATTTGACACGCAAGGACTAAATTATAGAATTGGTGTTTTAACAATGCAATCTGAAAACAGAAAAAAAAAGAGATATCCAAACTGTTGAAAAACGAGCCTTTCTTTTTAAATGGGGAAAGTGCAGACGACTGAAGGAAACAGTTCGCTTACAAACACGGAGGAATTCGAAGTAGGCTTTTCGTCCGACGGAGCCGAATTACAAATATAGAAAGCGAATGCAAGCATAGAAAGTGAACGCAATGATATTCGTTCCAAAACCCATTAAGCAAGCCTGCCTATTGTGTGAGTTATCATTTCACAATTTGTCAGATATATTTGTAATCATCGATGCAGTCGTTTCAGGTAAATGCAATCATTTATGAGAAGCCGACACGGTATTTAGGCAAGAAATCTTAAAAGTTGGTTTGGTGAAATTAGGAGAAAGGCTATGCTGTTGAAACGGACACAGAAACAATAGAGACGCAATATTTTAGATCTCCATTACGCATCACATTGACAATAATTGGATGGATATCTGAATGACATGTGAAGCGGCTATTTTTAGATACAGTATGTGTAAATGGGCTCTTTCTAACGAGATTATCAGTCCCTTGTTGTCCCAGTTCCCAGAGTATCAAAGCTCTAGCTGACCTCAACCCTGTAATTAGAGACTTTAATTCCCCAGGAAAAGAAATACGATGAAAATAAATATCTTTGGTGTGCCATTATAAATGCCGATGTCCATCTCCCTGAAAATTCGAATATTTTTAAGTGCAGGATTTTGTCATTTGACAATCAATGCCGCAGCAAAAGTAACTCAAAAATAATAGAAAATGCAATAAAAATATCCTAAAAACGTTTGCATGAACTCTTGTCCACAGATATAAGGCATGACAAAAATGAGCCAACCGAAAGGATGCATAGAAATATCCAAGCTGTCGTCCACCCCCCCTCCCCCCTCCCCTAATTGTACAGTATACATTTTCGATTTATTTCATGTTACCCAGGGAAAAAAAACCTCAATTTTTTTTTTAAATTAAACTTTTCTAAGATTTCATTGTAATAAAAAAAATAACGCAGCCTTGTTAATTTCCCTCATAGCCATTTCTCTACAGTAATTTGTCTTTTGTAAGTATAATATATATATACATAGATATATATATATGGTAATCTTACTATTGTATTTAAACATAGTATTATTTGATCTTTGTTATTAAATTCATTGATTTTCAAAATCGATTCAAAATGAAGCAATATGTCCAAAATATTTGCAACCATAGATTAGTAATTGGCAAGATCCCTAAAGCTAAAGCTAATTGGTTGTATAGTTCACTCGCAATAATATTTTACAGTTTTGCATTCCATTTAACACTTGTTGTATTATATTCTGTATACACCAAGAGAGTGAAGGTCCTTGTTCCAGCAATTATTGGAATACATATAAATTTCCTTTATCTATGTTTTTTCATTTATGATCAAAAGAAACCAAAAGAATTCAAAACCACTCGTATGAAGAAAATTGATTGGTTTGTTTCCAAAGTACTTAAGAAGGTAGTATGGTTGTTTTTATTCATACTTGTGATTATGCAAGTTGCAAATATCGCTTCCGGTAAGCTTACTAATCCTTTGAAATTGAGTCGGGCTGATGTAAAAAGATTTCACCTTTCATGGTCAGAAAGAAATACCTTTTTCTCAATAAATATAGTCAGTACATTTGCGAATGGAATCTTATTATGTATTTGGTGGTCAACAGATATATCAAAAGTATATCTCCTATTTGCCCTGTGTAATCTATTCCAAATGTTGATTTCGGTCAGTCTCATTGAAATAAATATGCCATGGATAAATATTAGTACCGAAGGAAACAGGTTACATAACTTGTTCATATTAACATCATGTTATATCATGGGTCAATCTATGATGGGAGTATTGATAGTAATGATTATTAATCCTAAGAATCGCTTGAATGAAATTGTTGGTAAGATGGTATTCTTATTTGATATTGTGGTGGTTGTGCTAACAACGTTGGTTCTTGCATGTACAATAACAGCTGGGATCTACAATGACTTTGATGCATGGCCCGAAATAAAAGACGTTGATTTGAATGAAATCCCAACCAGTGTTTCTATATTATTCACATGCTCCACCGTATTGAATATTGTTATCTTTGTATGTACAAGATATTTACGTCTGCGTAAATTCTCGGATAATATACACGTTGAAGAATATAATCTTGCTGAGCTTTCACCATACCAAAAGCATGGATGGGCAAAATTGATTGATCTCAATAAGAAACATAATTCTGGAACTTCTGGGAGTCATGTACTTTCATTGATGGAGAATTATACTAATACAAAGTTACCAGGCATGAAATGTAAAGTTTTACGTGTGTTTAGAGATGGAAATGTCAATGATCAAACCGCTCCTAAACAGCCATTAGAGAAGAGCAAAGAAAGACCAGAGTTTAATAAACGAACGTTGAGCACTGCTTTCAATCAATTAGACAGGGAAGAGACTTTGTTTAGCACGAAAACTTTGACCAACTCAGTTGACAATCTCAAAGAATTGGAAGAAAGGTACAAACCTTTGTCCAAGAATCAACTTAAGAAATTGGCCAAGAAGAGTAAGCAACAGAAACAATTGGATGACCTCAAGAGTTTGGAAAACAATACCGAAAAGTTCTATCAAGAATTGATAACCACTGAAGCATTAGTCATGATAACTGTTATTGAAGAGTTTGATTTAGCAGAAAGAATCCCAGGAAGTGCTGGTCGCCTATTATCCAAATGGTTTGGGAAAGATAGTAGATTCCCTCTCTTGTGTATCAAATTTGGATTATTGGGATTCCATTGGCCATTCAAGAGATCAACATTCTATTGTAGTCAGACAAAGAAACCTGTAGCCAGAGCTACCGCTGTCTTGTCAGCCATTTCAAACTGGAATAGATGGAATGAAAAATGCACCGTGTTATTAGATCCAATGTATACCGATCGTGATTTTGAAGCCGGAATTGACTATTCTGGATGGATTAAAATAAATTTACC